CAGTGTACAGCACATAATTTCCCCACATGGCTTTCTTCACATCCTGAACAATATAGTCCGTATCTGTCTGAGGTCACAAAACCCAATTTCATGTCAAAATATCCATGATGGCCAAACATTTGCTCTCAGAAAGGGGTTTTGCATAGCAAAGACTTTTCCTTATTATAAATCTCATCTTTTTTTTTTTTTTGAGACAGTTGGCCAATTAATTTCTTTCTATTTATAGTAGAGATGGGGTCTCAGTCTTGCTCAGGCTGGTTTCGGACTCCTGACCTCTAGCGATTGGCCCGCCTCAGCCTCCCAGAATGCTAGGATTACAGGCGTGAGCTACCACGCCCAGCCAAAATCTCATCCGAATAGATACTATAACAGCTAGCAAAGCTACTTCAAGAGCTGTGCAAGAATTAGATGTGATCATACATTCCAAGTGCTTGACACATGAGTTTAAATATTGAACCCACCTCTACTGCTCTCTAAGAATGGCCACTGAGCCCAGAATTGAGAGAAACAGGCATGCCATCCATGGGTGGAATCTAGGAAGGTGTTTGTTTATATATGTTTTCACTTATCAAATGCTTATATGAATTAGGATGAATCATGGATGAATCATTTCAGGAACTACCTTATTCTAGGAAATGAAAGGGATGTGCTTCTATAATACATTGCTGCAAGAGCAGGAGTTCAGGAGAGGTACAGACCATGGGTGGGAAACAAACCATCAGGGCAGAGAGCTTGTTTCATCTCAGAAATGATGAGGGCACCATGCAGTCTTCTCAGCCAAGCATCTCTGAGACTGACTTTCAAAGTAGGGAATTGTTCTTGGCCACAGTGAGCCTGACCTTTACTGGAATAGGTTTTGCAGCCTCCAAGAGGGGTCCTGCTGTGAAACCATCATCACTTCTATTGCTCACCAGGGGATTCTTCCTGGTGGCCCCTCAGGATTCAGAGTAGCACCTATAGGCAGCATAGGTCATCTCCAAAGCCAGACGTGTCCTACTTCAATTCAGTCTGTAGCATTGGCAAGTATTTAATCCAAAACCAAAGTGCTCACATATAAAACACAAGGTGATACAGCACCATTAAGGGTAGATCAGAAAAGTGTTCAGTAAGATTATAGTAATAATTATCTTTGGGAATGAGACTGTGAATGATTTTTATGTTTCTAAATGCTACTTTATACATTTTTTCTGCAGTCAGCATAAATTCCTTTTAAAGATGGGTTAAAGTTAGGGTCCCTAAATGTCACAAGTTTCCAGTCTGTTTTTAGTCAGTATTTTATTTTGTAATCTAAGCTATTTATTGTGATATGCATTAAGATTTGATGAGCATACTTGAGGCATACAGTGTATTGTATTTCCCAACGTTTTCGTCCACAGTGATGAAGCTAGGATGTGGTGGACAGCACTCGTTTTGGGTGTCAGAAGACCCTGCTTCATTTCTGGGAGAATTTAAACAACTCACTTCATTTCCACCTGCATTTGCATTCTGTGAATTTGCGATGTGAGGTTGCTTTGACGATCCACTAAGATTATATGTGAAAATACCTTTTGAAAACAGTACATCGCTCTAAAACCATAAGGCAGGATTAAAATAACTGGAATTAATTCTCTGTATGTAAAGTCATGGTGTTGAGTTCTTATCAATTGGGTAGAAATCCACACAAAATGAACTCTCTCTGAGTCCACTATATCTAACATCCTGTTGGTTACTTAAGATATGAATCAGGTTGTTTCATATGTTATAACTTAATTGCTAGATGACTTAGATACCAATTCCTTAAAATTATGGTATGGATTCAAATTTTATGATACTTAAATTATGGCACCAAATACTTATCTGTGTGCATAATATTAGGTGTTATGTCTCTGTGCAATGCGTATTTTGGTTTGCATGCAATTTGTATATGTATATATAAAATGGAAACACATCAATATCAGTGGGAAAAATGTAGATATATATATATTTTTCTATTGATATTGATGTTTTATTTCAAGGTAACTTCCATCATCAGTACTTGAAGATTAAAGACCATTAGACATTTTCTTTCAGTAATAATTGAATTTTCAATCCCTGTAAAGTAACAACTCACTCTTAAGTAAGACACTAAAATTATCAGTGAAACTGCAGATTACTTTATTGCCCTGAGGGAATATGACTTACAAATGGACTTATAAGAGATTCATTTAAGCAACATGTTAAAATACGATTATGTTTATGTATTTCAAAGTTTGTCCATTAAATTTTTTTCTGGTTAATCTACTTATTTGAAGCTGTATTTAAGGACAGCATTTAAATCAAGCTTAGATGTACATTATTAAAAAAATTGATACAATCTTTGTGAGTACTCTGTAGAAGGCAAGTGCTGATTAAGGTATAAGAACCAGGGAAAAGAAAAGTACCACCTTGTTATAAATCTAGTGTCTATATTTTTGTGAGATTTAGGCTTTTGATTCTGTTGCATTGGCTATTTAGGCCTGCACCATTAAAATACTGTCTTAATTACTGTAGCTTTACCATAAAATGTATTATTACATAGCAGACCAAATAAATCAGAATCTATTTTAGGTATAGATAACTGTAAAACCTTCTCTGTTGGTTACAATGGACAGTCAAGGATGAGAATTACTCAGCTAAGAACTTTTAGAAGTGTTCAAGAGTCTCTATCAGGGCCTATGGAAGGTTCATCTCCTGATCAAATATGTGTCACTATGCATAACACACTGTACTGATTGGTACCTCAAAAGAGGCCTAAATGTCACTCCTTGGGGAAAATCTTAATATCTGCTAATCTGGTTCAACATATTGGGTCTTATAATGGTAATGACCTTCTAGCTGACATTTTTTTCTGTTGAATTTATTTGTCTTTTCTCCAATTAATAATCAAGTCTTCCCTTTTTTTTGATTTACTGTGAAGCCAGAATTGCTAGATAAACCAGAAAAGCCATTTTCTTTAAAGGTCTTTCAAAACCCCACAGCTTTAATATCTACTTGTTACAGTGTCATTGTTAGACTTAAATTTAGTGGAAAATGGGCTTCTTATTAGTTCTCTGGTTTTAAACTCATAAATCCCCTTCATTAAATATTTTTCATTAAGATGTAGCCAACTCCCGCATGCAATACATTTGATAATATTACCGTAGAAGATTTGAGCTCATTGAGACCTCCTATTGTAAAATATGTCTTTAAGTATAAAATATAGTTGAAAATAATTTTCTGTTTGCAGTTCAGCAGTAAAAGCTGGGATAATGCTTGTGTTCAAATACTACATGCGATAATCTGAGCACACCCAGTTCCCTTTAAAACTTTCTTCATATATTTAGTGTCAAAATTTTAAATATATTTAGAACTCATTGGTGAGGAATGGTCAGGTTAAGAAGGAATGAAAGCCTTACTGACGGTTTTCAGGAGCTACTTAACAGCTCATCTCAAACAAATGAAAGATTTGAGAGAAGTTATTTTGTTCTCACAGGATAGTAATAGAGATGATTAAAGTGTGTTCATCAGCGCACAATTAGAATGAGGAATCTGCCTGATCTCCATCTCTGCTCGCTCCCATTCAGGCTGATTGACCTGCACGTAGAGAGAGGGGCAGGCAGACTGTCAGAGGTAACTGCACACGGAAGTAAATTGAACAGCCACAGGGACCCAGTTAACATGGCACAGAAATCTCGTAGGTGGGAAGTAGTTATGTGGGGAGGGGACGTGGACCAAACAGATAAACAGGGAATCACTGAGCAAAGGTAGGTGGATGCAAAATCAGGAGTAGCAGGAAGAGATAAACTGGAGAGCGTGAGAAGGGAGGGGTTTCAATGCGTCCAGAGGTAGAAATAGAACTGTAGTGAGGTGCATGGCTGTAACTAACCTCCCGGAAGCTGTCTTTTCAGTGATTACCCTTGTAGGAAGCCTGGGAACTGCAATTTTCTCAAGGGAACTGTTCTCTGGAACAGGTCTAGGGTAAGTCTGAACATGGCCAGAGAAGCCGATTGTGAGAATTGATAACACAGAATCTTGGGAGCAGAGGAGAATGGAACCAGTCCCTGGGACCCTGCTCAGAGCCAATGGTGGCTTTATGGTGCTCCATCACCATTCACCCCCATCATGTTCCCAGAAGCTCAGAGGGTATTTTAGTTCCACCTGTCAAGGGAAGTTAGGACAAGAGGCGTGAGTAAAGTATGGGGTGTTCTGCAAAGCTGCTAAGGGAAGGCTAAAACACTTCTTGCTCCTTTTAACTTGGGAGCCTTTTCTTTCTTTTTTGCCATAATTTGGACATGAACTTTCCCTTTTCCTCCAGCCAGTAGGTCCTACCTAGGAAAATAGAAGGACGCTGACAAAGGAGGTGTCCTCTCGTTTTTGCTGAGCTGTTCTTTCATTTGAGCATCATTTAACTTCTCTTGTTTTATGCCTTTTATTTTCAACTGGAAAAGCTCCATGTGGTCTCATGCTATTCTTCTACGTAGTAGGACTTCTGCCAGCAAAGGTGCAAATCAGTAGTTAGCATATTGCCCATGATTTTTCCTAACTTCTCCTACTGACTCACATGGCAGTGGCGAGGCTGTATTCATACATATCCATTAGTATGTGCAGAGCTGAATAATGCTTATCTGTAACTTCATTCCTCATGACAAGGAACTTATGGACCGAGTCTTTTCAACATGATACTACACAGATAGCTGGCACCAAATGTATCCCCCATGTATTGAAGTCTGATATTGATGAGACTGTATTTGAAAACGTCAAAAATATTTTTCCCTAAATTTCTAATATGAGTTCCCAGATTTGTTATATTTTCCTTTGCCTGTCATCTTTTGCTGCTGTTGTTCTTTCCCTAGCTTTTAGCACTGAAGAACACTGTTAGCATTTGTTATTCGATATCTGTGCATGAGAATCATAAAACAAGTCATTACAAAAATTGACCAAAATGGTTGGAAAATTTTTAAGAAAATCACAGACTAAAAATGGCCAAAATAATATGCTGGGTTTTTGTGTGTTTTCTTTTCTAGGTCAAAACTGTGGAGGCTTAGTCCAGGGTCCCAACGGCACCATTGAGAGCCCAGGCTTTCCTCACGGTTATCCAAACTACGCTAACTGCACCTGGATCATTATAACAGGGGAACGCAATAGGATACAATTGTCATTTCATACCTTTGCTCTTGAAGAAGATTTTGATATATTGTCAGTGTACGACGGACAGCCCCAACAAGGGAACCTAAAAGTGAGGTAAAGTACTGGTTCTTCATTTTATAGACTAGGCAGCACTGTTGAGTACTCAGATTCTGAAATCTAATCTGAGTTTATATTTAAATTATCAGAAAAGAAAGTTTCATTGCTATAAAGAAAAATTAATGTATATTTGTATCAAATTGTGCACTTTTCCCCCATACTTAAAAATGTAAGTTCTTATTGAGAGCAATCACTGACTTCATTTATAGAGATCAAATTGTTCAAGATCTGTAAAAGTATTGTCAAGGTAATTAGAGTGAATTTATAATACTCTATTGTTTTCAACTATGGATTTGAGAGAAAAAGTACAGAGATAAATGTGTTTGAGTACAATTCAGACAATAACAAAAGAAACTTTTATATTGTCAGAGAATAAATTCAATAAAAAGAACATAGGAAGTGTGGATGGGGGAAGAACATTGGAGAATACTGCATTCTTTGGAGAATTTTTGGTTTAGACAATCATGCTATATTCTATTCATTGTGAGGTTTCTCTTTTGATCTACAATTTTTACCATGAATAAAGCAAAATATTTTCTGAAATGATTTTAAATTAGGTTTTTCATTTGTCTACAAGGGAAAAATAATTGCACCTGTATAATTATATCCATTCATTTTTCACTTTGGCCAAAGAAAGAGGAATGTCTCTTTCAAAGAAATCAGATTTTCTTAACTAAATCTATAAACTTATTTATATCCATACATATATGACAAGTCATGGCTTTTTCATCTGGTTTTAAAATTTTGTGTTAGAGATTACATTTGTTTAATATATGAAGGCATGTAGAAAAATGGTAGCCTTATGAAGTTTTAGAGTTTAGATAAATAAAATAGTATTGATGTTAATGCCAACAGTAATGCACTCAAAATGCATATACTTCATGATTTTGTGGGATGAGAAAAAAACTCTAACTACAAAAAATGATTTTATTTGTACATCTAGTTTTAACATTTATTACAACATATATTAACTACATAGTTAATATATGAAATATTAACTATATTTTATTAATATATTCTCAAATGTATTTTATTTGCATTTTCTTTATGCATTTTCAAATATAAAACATCTTATAGTTTTTCCTGGGTCATCTACAATATCTGTTGTCTGTTTTTAGAAACATTTTTCTACTTTATATATTGTAAAATGGTTATCTATTTTCTGAATCAGGTAAACTGTATGATATTTGTAGTTCTGCATTTGCATATTTGAACAAACTATCTCTCTATATATATAATCCTTGCTAATTTGATGCAAGATTTCACATTATAATTCTTTCTCTTTTAAATTTTATTTATTTATTTATTTTGCTTTTAATGCTCCCAGGGAATAGTGGTAGATTGTAATAGCTGAATTTTTTTTTTTAAATGTAGTTTCAGGAAGAAAAAAATAATCTATTTTACTGAAATATCAATGTGTGTGCCTATGTTAAAAGCAATTCTTTCTCTTTCCATTAAAAAATGCCTTGTAAGTATGTACTCTTGAAAATGCTTCCCTTTGCTTTCTCTCAATATTTCCATTTCCTGTAGTTCTTTCATCTATAGGAAACCTGTCTTAATGTTAATTTGATGACTGTCTTTCAACAATGTGTTATCTCTTATGTTCCTCTGGTGTTATTATGATCATTTTATGATAATGAATTTAAAGTTTAGAAAATAACATTCCTACCATCTTCTGTATTATAACAGGATCAACAGTAGAAATATTAAGGTTAGAACAGTGAGGTTCAATATATTTTATTTTGAGTTTCCAGTGAACAAATATAAATTGATATCTGTGCCTCAGAGAGCTTTGTGGATGTTGGTGAGTTATTGGCATCACACCATGGCTCTTTTACTCACTCAGATATTTTCAGTAGAGGAAGGAAGGGAGGTTGATAAGAAAGAGACTTCCTGGGTTCACACAAATTCCTCAGGTACCTACAAGTTTTTATTTGAAACAGAGGACAATGTGTCATATTTCTAACTGTTTCTTGTCCTTCAATTTAGGGCAATGCTTTCATCTTGACATTAAATTGTATAATTCTCCTATCTCCACCCTAAGAGTGGCATCTTGAGGAGACATTCTATGGGTATCCAGTGAGTGTCTTCTAGGGGCTGTTCCAGGTATCACAGTACAAACAAGCAAAATACATCCAACGAGTACTCGATGGGTCTCTGCTGATATAAAATTTTAGATAAATAGGATGAGAAACAGGACTGTGAATATATTGTCAGGGAAACACATGAGAAAGTGTTTTCTCTTTCAGTATTCAGCATCAGTTGATGGGCAAAGTAGTTATAAATAGTATCAGATTATTATTAATTGTTGGAGGGGAGTACGCTAATGTTATTTGTTCCCTATTATATCTTGGAGCAGTTGTTTATTTCTCAAACACAATTAACTAATGACAATTAAAGCAGCTCTAGTATTTAAAGGAAGGATACTCTTGTGAGAGAATTGATGTAGGCACTGCAGATCCACTGAGCCGTCACAAAAGTTATTACTTAGAGCTGTCATGGTCTGTTATTGTTTTATTGCTGCACAAAAGCTGTTATTAGTCGCTCAAAATGTGCACTAACTGAAAAAATATTGAGTCGTTTTTTTAAACAACTTGAGTATTTTGTTATGAGGAAATTTATTTTGTTTAAACACAATAAGGATTTTTTTATAAATGCACTTAAGATGTAGATTTAATCCCCAGCAAGGAAAACAGAGAATTTGTAGTTTAGAATAATTGATGTTTATATTGTAACTTAAACTTTTGTCAGGAATATATTATTTACCACACATTTAAAAAAAAACACTTTAAGTTTAAAAAAGTGCAATCTATGTTATCATCTTGGATATTTCTTTAATACAAACATACCCACAACACATATGTGAGCTGTGCCCCCATCAATACATTATATTTTAATATATGGATATTGAGAGCTGAAATAAGACTTCTCTTGTTAAGCACAAGGGAATAAAATTTGACTTAAAATTAGAAATAAAAATCCCATCCTTGAGTTATTTAGAATTAAAATCATAGCTCTTCATTGATTTCTATGAGCTGCCAGTTATTATAGTTTTTTTTTTTTTTAATCTCTGAACTTTATTGACTCTGTACCTTCCTTTGCTTCTCAAAACCCCACAGAAGTCTGATCTTGGAGTCACCAAATCCTAATATTTTTATTTTGTGACATCTCTCCACCTGTTTTGATCCTCACAGAAAGTGCTCCAACGAAGGCTCTTGCTCTCTCACAGTGGTCCAGTGCGTACTGGGTGAGGGATGGACCAGTGCAGTGGCCCTCCTGCCCTGGCTCACCTCCCTTGAACCCAAAACACCTGCCGCTGCCCTGCTGCTGGCCTCTACTGCCAGCAAGATGGACAGCTCCAGTAAACATAATCCTAACAGTCAAGAAACTTTGTGGTCTGACTCCAAGCTACATTCTGACTTTCAGTCTCCTCTTTGTTACCTATGGAAGTTTTCTTAGTAGAACGGATCTAGGGTCGACCCCATGATCTGAACTCATGAGAGAATAATATTTATCATTTCTCTCTCCTAGGCCTTCTCTCTACCCATCTAAATGCTGCCTGTAGTCGGAAACCCAATTCACATGACATTTATTTCAGGGAATCTTTCGTGTGTACCCCAAATTAAAAAAACAAAACAAAACATGTAAACATGTTGTTTTTTTCTGAACTCCTTTAGCACAGCCACTGAGGTAACCTTGAGGCATATGCTCCTTTGAACTCACACCTGCTCTGAAGTTGCCTCTCACCGGGGCTTGCACATCTCTGTATTCTTGGAAGCCAACTAGAACATATATCCTCTGAGGCCAAGAAATGTGCCCTGAATGTGTCTTCTCCTGTGATGATGGATGTGTTGACTTTCAAATAGTCCATAAATCTTTGTGGGGCCGTTTTGACTTACAATGTTTCTGATTCAGGGCCACTCGTCACTGCTTCTGTGTATATAACTAACTCAACGTGACTCTCTCCTACACCAGCGTGGTTAATTGTCCCATGGGGTAACTGATAGTCAGCACATGTTCGCCAAATGTGAAGTGGTATTTGCTTCTCCCAAATCATAAAATAATTGAAGTTGACATCAATTTCCAGCTGTGATAACATTATAATACCCGAAGGTTGAAAAGAAATCGCGTTAGATATTCAGGGAGCAAATAAAAGTAAACCTATAAAGGAAGATGGTACCATGCAAAATGTCAAATATCAGGATATATTATTTCATGATTATTGCCGAATACCAGGCCTGGGAAAACAGCTCTGGCAGGTATCTCACTCTCACTTTCACAAGATTACTCCCAATTTCCTGCAATGATGATAATGAAGAGGTTAGAGATGAATGCAAGGGGGCCATTAAAGTCAGGAAATTGTGAATAAGTATTGTTAAAATATCACAGTTTTTTTCCAGTTTTCTTGAACTGTAATGATATGTTTGATTGCATTAAATATATTTTAAAATAAATTTTATTGTGTACAGTTAAGGGTTGTATATCACTAAGAAACCTGCATAATATTAGCTATATCTGGTGATGTTTGGACTTAGGAATGTTCCAGAGTGAGGAAAGGGTTGCAGTTGTATTGTGACCATATCAGACAAGAGATCTGGCATTACCTAAATTCTGCCTTCCTTGTCCCCATTGTCGATACAAGGTACTGAGGGAGCTGTTCACAGATCAATGGACAGACAAAAATCAAAGTATTATTTTATTGTTAGCTTGGCTGGCAACTAATGCCCTGAGTAAGACTCCGATATTCATAGGATTAAGCTTGTGTAAAGGTTCTAGACTCCAGCTTCATAGGAACCCCAGATAGGAGTCTCGACATCTTGTTGCATTTGGCCAGCCATATGGTCAGGACTGAAAAGAATGACCAGCATGTTTGGCCGGCACAGGTAAGGGAGGGCCCCAGAACCAGGGGCTTGGCAGCCCAAGGGAGGGTGCTGTGGAGAGCCCACCCCCAGCACAGAGGTGATGGCGCCCAGGGGAAGAGGCACGCCTCGGGGCAC